TCCAAATGACGTACTTTATGCTATAAGGTGTAACCAGTAGCTTGTGTCTTGTAATAAGTGCTTTTGTACCTTATGCTATAAGGTGTAACCAGTAGCTTGTGTCTTGTAATAAGTGCTTTTGTACCTTATGCTATAAGGTGTAACCAGTAGCTTGTGTCTTGTAATAAGTGCTTTGTACCTTATGCTATAAGGTGTAACCAGTAGCTTGTGTCTTGTAATAAGTGCTTTGTACCTTATGCTATAAGGTGTAACCAGTAGCTTGTGTCTTGTAATAAGTGTTTTTATACCTTATGCTATAAGGTGTAACCAGCAGCTTGTGTCTTGTAATAAGTGCTTTTGTACCTTATGCTATAAGGTGTAACCAGTAGCTTGTGTTTTGTAATAAGTGCTTTTGTACCTTATGCTATAAGGTGTAACCAGTAGCTTGTGTTTTGTAATAAGTGCTTTTGTACCTTATGCTATAAGGTTTAATCAGAAGGTACAAAAGCACTTATTACAAGACACAAGCTACTGGTTACACCTTATAGCATAAGGTACAAAAGCACTTATTACAAGACACAAGCTTATGCAATAAGGTGTAACCAATAGCTTGTGTCTTGTAATAAGTGCTTTTTTCCACTTTATAAGTAAGTTTTTTATGTTCCTAAACTTTTAATATGTTGTAGTTAGCATTCTTACCTGAGCCTTGATTACAAAATTTCCTCAAATTAAGATTGAATACTCATTTATGTCTGACTAACTATAATAGATAAAAATTAACTAAGGGTTCTTTATTTTTGAAAAAAAAGCTTCCAAGACGTTTTCATTATTTTTGTTATTAATGGCCGCCCAGAGTAAAAAGATTAATCCCTATATATTTGATTTATACACAAATCTACACTGAAGCAAGTCAAAATTAGTATAGAATATTAGGAGTTTTCTTACATAAAATGTACATAGGTAGTGTTTACTTTATTTTCGTTTTAAACATTACCTTTATAGTTTTGTGTACTTATTTTAAAACTTCGTTATTGCTGTTTTTGAGTTTTAATTAAAACTGTAAAATATTCGGTTTCACTGTGTAATGAACAAACGTTAAACTGTATGGATGTAAATACTCAGTTTCTTCAAATGGATATTAGATGGCGCTCAAATTACATTTGAAAAGTTTAAACCATCATACAAATATGTCGCCAATCATTAATACACAACTTCTTCCAATAGATGCATTACTCCTTAAGTTGGTAAGATCAGATATAAATATTTTTGATAGAATGTAGTAAAACCGACAGATGCCGCTTTCATTGTGTATACGAGAATTAAATTTATATGTAGCAATAGCAATATCTTTGCAAAACATAGTTAAAATATACGTACAGGAAACCCAAGATATCCTGAGCGTGATATCAGAGAACATCATTCTCTGGTACCATAAATACAACGTAGAACCAAATAAAACACTATGGTAGTTGTAACCCAGTGTTACAACTGCCAACGCTATGGACATGTGGCTGCAGCACGTAAAGCTCTCCCACGCTGTGTGGGTTGTGGGGGAGAACACAGAAGCGCTGAGTGCCCCAAAGCAAACATACAACCATATTGGTGTAACTGCCAACAGCACCACACAGCAAATTACAAAGGATGTCCTAGATAAAAGAACATCAAAACACGAATAGTTAACTTACAAAATAACTCAAACACAAACAATACACACACACAGTACCCTGAAGCCAAGAGAATAGAAAGAACACCCTCATTACCAACACCAAAACCTCTAGAAACACATAAACAAGCAAAGAACACACAACCCACAAGTATCACAACACGAAAAAGAAAATCAAATAACAGAAGTAACCAAACACATGTTTTACGAACTTATAAGACAATACCGAAACCCTCAAAATCAAGAAGACTGTATTATATTAATCATTAAAATCGCTATTTACACTTTTACTCCCTCATATAATACGATCCGTTGTAAATTCACAAACTAAAATCTCTCAGAACACAACTGCACAGCTACAATAACCATATTAACTAATGCATAATCAGACAAAATAAACGCACATGGCCTGAAACGGAAAGTAGCATCAGAAATCCAACCAGCTTACCTAACAACCAAACAAACGATCAACAATTAACAATAGTACAGGAAGGAGGAAGAGGTCGAACTAGCACCTAAATCCCGATGAGATGAGATATGTTTACAAGAGATTTAAACAATATTTAGAACTTAGTATGTATAAGAACAAGTGTCAACAGACAATATGGCGCATTATACATCAAAGCATTGGCGGTAATCGATCTTCTGTAATACCATTTTGATTGTTAATTAGCTCGTTTTGATAATTACTGTGGATTAGAATGAAAAATAAGTTCTCTTTACAGCTCATTTAGAATAAAGCTCTCAAAATTAAAATATAAACTGGTTAACGTATTTTTGTGATAATAGTCATCTTCAAACCATTTATCTTTGTTTCTAATATTAGTGTCTAAAACCCTGAATTTGTAATTCACTTGTTCTTCTACTGTGGATTTAAATGTTCACATTGTTGGTTGAGATAAACCAAAAATAACTTAACATGGGACTGCTCTTTAATAATCATCAACATATCTTTTGAAAACCAGAGGTTTGAATTCGTCAGAAAATTTCTCCACCCAATATTTTTCATTTTCATATAGGAACAATATAGTCAAATTGGAGGTTCATCTTGACCCCAAGGCAACACCATCAATCAGATCATAAAATTCACTACTCAAAATGAAATTTGACTGCTTGGTAGCAATCTCAAGTAACGAGAACTTATCAAGCCATTAATCTTCGATTCATTTTTATAAACAAGGTCACACGTCATCTTTATTGCGTCATTAAGTGGAATGTTTGTATATAAAAATGGTACATCATAGCTAGTTCAAAAACTGTGTTATAAAATTTTAAATATTTGACAAATGAAGAAAATAATTCGAAATAGTCCTTAACTGTAAGACTGTTTTTAACAAAATCTTTGAGGAATAGAACTAGAAAAACACTGCTAATTTATAATTAAATGTGTCAAAATTAGATATTATAGTAGGATTGGAATATCAATTTTGTGAACCTTTGGTAATCCTCATGATTATATGTGTCAATATTATATACTATAGTAGGATTGGAATATCAATTTTGTGAACTTTCGGTAATCTTCGTGATTAAATGTGTCAATATTATATACTATAGTAGGATTGAAATATCGATTTTGTGAACCTTCGGTTATCCTCATGATTAAATTTGCCGATATTATATACTATAGAACTGAGTGTAATATCAATTTTGTGAATCTTCTGTAATCCGTATAAAATACCAGACTGATCACGGGTCTGATTTTGTTGTAACTCTAGTTATGAATAATCCCTCTTTCTTTCATTTTAGAAGAAACTTCTGTAACCCGAACTCTCTCCTAGCTAGAGTAAGAAAAATTATAAGAAAATGTTATCTTCAAGTTAACGCAAGAATTATTATCAAACAACACCTAATAATTCAGAAGTATTTAGAGTTAAGAATTCCTGCTCTAAAATTATCCCTTCTTTAATTGTCCTCGATGTTAACAACCTTAAAATATTATCTAATTTTCTGACTTTTTCTCCTTCATGAGGTCGTTGATTTACAACCATCAAAAGACGGCTTGAAGGAAGTGTCGTCATTGGTTGATAAGACAGCCGATGATTCTGGGAAAGGCTACACTCAAGGTAATATCTATCACATGATATATTTAGTACGAACAACTATATTCTAGTCTTAAATATATAAATTAAGAGCGCAGTAATACTAACTTAAAATCCATTATGACCAAACTTGCACTTATTGAAACTTTGTTGAATGGGCGACAACTACCTGTTGTAGAAATACAAGTATAGAGGACGACGTTTCGAAAGTTTTCCGCTTTTCGTCTTCAGTGCTAAATTATTTAAAATATGGCCCTTTTAACCACAAGATAACTTTGTTTTGACAGCTAGCTAGAATATCATGCTCTAAATATTTAAAATATGGACGTTTTTTACCTCGCTGACGTCTTGCTAAACTATTAAACACGACCGAGAGTAGCTAATTGTTAGAGTTTTCATACTGTGAATCAAGGAGTTCATAGTTCCAGCAGGTCATTACAAAAGCATGCTCTATAAAAGAAACTGTCAAACCCTACTAGTCGGTCAGACTAGAGTAACCCAAGAGTTAGCATTAAGATCTGTTCACTAGCTGTCTTCCCACTTGTCCATTAGCTCAAATATAGGGACGCCTATACGTAAATAATTCACTGTGTAGCTTAACGTAAAAATTCTGAAAAACAAACAAACAAATAATCTGAGTCTTTTTTTCCCAGCCGACGGCTAACGAGGGTATTATATTCTAAATATTTGAAACGTGTTCCTTCTTCACCAACTTGATAAACAGCTAGGCAATTATATTCTACATATTTAAAATATCGACATTTTTGACCACATTGATAAAGAGATATAACAATAAATGTAAAATGTTTAACGTGTTAGTTAAATTTAACACATCATTATGTTTTGGGACAACAAAGGACCTATTGGCCCGTCTGGGTTGTCTTATTCTCAAAACCAAACTGAAACTATCAAATAAATAAATAAAGTAAAATAAAAATCTTAAAGCCAGCCATTCGTATAGTTATCAAGCTTTCTCTTAAACTTACTGCCTTCCAAACATCCGAAGGCAACCCATTCCAGTTACAAAAATAAAATAATCTTAGCTGAAGATGACTCCTACCTAGCCAAACTTTTTATTTGAGTCCCCTAGTCCTACTATTCTCCCAGTTAAGTATGAAAAATAATGACGCATCAACACTATCAGTTTCCTTTACAATCTTAAACACCTCAGTGAGATCTCTTCTAACTCTTTTTTTTTCAAGGGAAAACAATTTCACATATCTTAAACTCTCCTCATATGCTAACCTCTCTATCCCAGGCACCATTCTAGGAACCCTCCTCTGAACCCTCTGCATTCATATACTTATCAAGCTTTTTCTTAAACTCACTTAAGTTTACTGCCTCTACAGCATCTGAAGGCAACTCATTCCAAAGGCCAACCACCCTGTTAGAAAAATAAAACTGTCTTAGCTGAAGATGACTCCTACCTTGCCAAAATTTATATTTGTGTCCCCTAGTCCAACTACTCTCATTGTTAAATATAAAAAAGACGATACATCAACACAATCAATTCCCTTTACAATCTTAAACATCTCAATCAGATCCCCCCTAACTCTTCTTTTTTCAAGAGAAAACAATTTGAGAGATTTCAGCCTCTTGTCGTATGCCAACCCCACCATCCCTGGTAGCATTCTAGTAACCCTTCTCTGAACCCTTTACCAATTTAATGTCCTTCCTAAGGTAAGGAACCCAAGAATGAACACAATACTCCAAATGTCGCTTAACCAGTGTCCTATAAAACGAAATTATATCCTCTTGATACTTGTATTCAATATTTCTGTAGATACAATCTAAAATCCTATTTGTCCTGCCACTAGCAACAGCACATTGCTTGGATGGCTTTACAGACTAATCAACCATTACACCAAGATCCCTTTCTTTCATGACACTATTAAGGTTATTCCCATCCAAATTATACTTATAACGTAAATTATAATAACCCATCATGCATATATTTGCCCAACTCACTAAATGAGCTAAGTCCTTTTATAAAGCAGCAGCATCCTCTTTACAGTTAGCAACGCCCAAGGCCTTAATATCATTAGCAAATTTAAGTAACATATTACCATTCCTTCATCTATGTCACTGATGCAAATCACAAAGAGTAAATCAAGACTGAGCCCTGAGGTACCCCACTTGTGACATTAATCCAGATTGACTGAACTCCATTTATAGAAACCTTCTGCTTTCTACCATCTAACCACTCTGCTATTCAACTAGCTAACTTATCCCACACACCTAAAGCCTCTTATAATTATTTTATGTGGCACCTTGTCAAATGCTTTCTGAAAATCTAAATACACCAAATCTGCATCCTTATCCTCATCTACATAAGCAGTGACCTTTTCAAAGAATGGCAAAAGATTTGTAAGGCAAGATTTTCCTTTAGTGAAACCATGTTGACTATCCAATAAAATTCTAAACTTTGTTTAACGACTTTGCAAAACCTCTTTTATCACACTTTTCAAAACTTTTCTCACAACTGATGTAAAAACTAATAGGCCTATAATTACTGGGAAATTTTTATTACCTCTTTTGAAAAGAGGAGCTAACTTCCAATTCTTTGGCACCTGCTCACTATTCAAATAGCAAGTGGCTCACGGATATAATCCTTAACCTCCTTCAAAACCCTTGGGGAAATATCTGGCCTGGAGCCTTATCATTTCTTAAACTTCTCATTTTTTTCTGAATAAGCTCAGAATTAATGCAGTCATCTTGTCAGACTTGTTTCTATCTATTAACTGTTCAAGATGAGGAATACTCTTTAAATATAGCTGCACAATACAGAATAGCAAAAGTTAACGTGTTAGTTAAGTATAGCTGTATAATATGAATTAGTATTGGTTCGGTATTATAAATTTATCTAATTAAGTATTGCATTTATGATTGCAAGTTTTTTGTTGTTTTTTTGTTTCAAAATAAAAATAATTGTCCGCTATATTTGTAAAAATTTATATAAGACAAAGCTTATCTCATGGAGTACAGTATAATTCAGTTTTAGACATCCTACAATGTTTTATCTGAGTAAACAAAGTGAGTGACGTTTGGTTGACGTTGATTTCACCCGGGTAAACAAAGTGAGTGACGTTTGATTCATGTTGATTTGATCTGAGTAAATTAAGGAAGTGGCGTTTGATTCATGTTGATTTGACCTGAGTAAACTACGTTTGATTGACGTAAATTTGACCTGAGTAAACTAAGTGAGTAACGTTTGGTTGACGTTGATTTCACCCGGGTAAACTAAGTGAGTGACGTTTGATTCATGTTGATTTGATCTGAGTAAATTAAGGAAGTGGCGTTTGATTCATGTTGATTTGACCTGAGTAAGTTGATCAAGGGATGTTTGATTGATGTTGGTTTGACCCGAGTAAACTAAGTGAGTAACATTTGATTGATTTTGATCTGACCTGAGTAAGGTAAGTGAGTGACGTTTGATTGACGTTGATTTGACCTGAATAAGCTAAGTGAGTGACTTTTGATTGATGTTGAGTTGACTTGAGTAAGTAAGTGAGGAACGTTTGACTGATGTTGATTTGACCTGAGTAAGCTAAGTGAGTGACTTTTGATTGATGTTGAGTTGACTTGAGTAAGTAAGTGAGGGACGTTTGATTGATGCTGATTTGACCTGAGTAAGCTGATCAAGGGATGTTTGCTTGATGTTGATTTGATCGGAGTAAGCTAACTGATGGACGTTTGATTGATATTGAGTTGACCTGAGTAACCTAACTGAGTGGCGTTTGATTGATGTTGATTTGGCCCGCATAAACTAAGTTGGTAGCGATTGATGTTGATTTGACCTGAGTAAACTAAGTGAGTAACATTTCATTGATGTTGATTTGACCTGAGTAAGGTAAGTGAGTGACGTTTGATTGGTGTTGATTTGACTTGAGTAAGTTGATCAAGGAATGTTTGATTGATGTTGATTTGACATAAGTCATCTAAAAGCTACGTTTGTTTGATATGATAAAATTTATTTTCTAGGTCAAGTAACCGGTATTGGTGTTGATGCTTGTATGGCAGGCTTTGTGCTTGGTGCGGCTCTGTTCTTTTGTTACCTCACAAGACACAGACGACCAACCAAACATAGTTCTGATGATATGAAAGACTCTTTTGACATTGTTGAAGTTGGAGAAAGTAGTATTTGAGATGAGGCAGCATAAAAAGTTGTTGTTACAATAAAATACGCATCTTGTGTTAAAACCAAGTGATTTTTTTGTAAATGAAATACACCGGAGTTATTCGTTTGTTTTCAACAATAAAAAATATGAGAAAGATAGAATGAGAAACAAAAATATTATATTAAACTATTTCTGTAAGTATCATATAGAAATGACTGGCTAGCATCAGTAAAAATAGAATAATTTATTTAAACAGAATTACTGCGAAAAGTACAAGTTCTTAATAAAAATTTGAAGGCAGAACTGGACTATCCATAGAAAGGGCCAACAACTACAAAGAAAAGTTAAGATGTTTGCTCGCATGTTTGCTATTAGCTATTATATGATTTCTTGTAACTTACACCAAATATTTAATTGAAACAATATTTTTATTCCAAAATATGTATCAAGGTAAATGCTTCTCTCCTAACATTTAAGCAGCTGTAAGAGCTGTGCACTGGACTAATTTCTTTCTTTCTTAGAACTTTTGTAAAAAGATACAAAAAGGTTGTATCCGCGAATAGTTCCCTAATTTTGAACTCAGTGGAAGGAAGCTACTCAACACAATTCACTTGAAACTCATAGGCTACTTTTGTTAGTGAGATTTCAGCGTCACTCTTATACCACCTAAATCCCGAACGTGCAGACACGTTTATTGTTGCAATGAGACGCGAAGCCTCTGTTTCAATATCTAGCATGCTAACCACTAGGCCACCCCCGACTCCTGCTATGAACTAAAAATCAAACACAATTAAAACGATAAAAATCACACAATAAATCTAAATAACGTTACGATAATCATTACCTGATTTTAACAACTCAGCATTTGTCATGCAGTTTAGCTATGTATATTTTATGGATAGAATTGAACCATTCGTTTGCATACTTATAATTGTGTCCAATATCTCCAAAAGCCAAGCCTTTCACTCCCCAGAAGTCGCCTTATGGGGATGTTTACTTTATTTTGGAGCCGTTCTTCTTTGGAGCTTATCAACAAGCACAGTGGCTGTATACGTTTAACATTTGTTTGTTTGTAGTTAAGCACAAAGCTACACAATGGGCTATCTGTGCTTTGCCCACCATGTCAGAACTCATGCAACATGGATTGTCCAAGATGCCATATTCGAGCAAGACGGTGCTCTGCTTCATATCCACTGTCATACAAACCTCACTTGCATTCAACCCTGTGGCTTCTGAAAATACAAGTATTTTCTCATATTGTAAACCACTAACCATTCCACAACTATTATTAAAGATTTTGTTTTGGATAAAGATACTTTACTGAATTTACTGTTTTTCCTTCGTTTTGGATAAAGTTACTTTACTGAATTTACTGTCCTTTCCTTCGCTTTGGATAAAATTATATTATCGATTTGATATTTTCACATTTTGTTTGGGTAAATTTTTCAGTGGATTCCATGAGTTGAGATCAAAACAAAAAATCTATAATCTTTATATCTAAGAAACTTTCGTCCAATATCATTGTAGAGCTTGACTTTAGCAGGACTCTATCTTTACTCGAAATTTGTCTTTTTTAGGTTCGTTTGAACGCTGTTATTGTAATGAGTTAGTTTTGTGTAAAAACTTCAAACTGAATAATAATTTCGTGTGAAATATGTCAAACTGCTGCTAACTTAACACAGATTACGTAAATGAAGAAGTTTTTTATTGAAAAGTGTATCTGTAAGTATTTTTGATTTACACGTGAAAATATGTTTAAAGGCATTGCTTTGATTTCTTCTTAATCATGTACAAGTATGTACACATAAAAACACTAGCTGCGATTGTATGTTAAATATTCGTATAAACGTCAATCGCTTGATCTTTCTTGCTCAAAGGTTAAAGGTGACTTTATAAACTGCACATGATGGTCATATTCGAGCTGTATGTAGTTAAGCAAGAGAGTCTCAAATTACTTATGGAGTTTGTTCGATCCAAGTACAACTCTAGTTTTTGGACTGAAACTAGATATTATCGCGTATCTACAGCTGTGTATCTTCAACGTTGAGGGGACGAACATTAATGTCGGGCTCGACAGCTAGTGCACTGCGTAACCAGGACTCAGAAATCTTCGTGCATGTACACGAGTGAGAGGACGTACTCAGAATGTTTTTGTGGGGAAAGAGCGTCACCTTCTTATCATACTTTTAAGTTGTGTGTAAATCGCTGTACTTCATTAAACCTTAGTTCCTTTTTATTCTATTTGAAAGAAACTGATAAATTTGCAAGAGGACTATTAAACTGGACATCATTCAAAAGGAACTTTCCAGGCAACTTCTGTGAATATCTTATAAAATCAGAATTACATTTTTAACATACAAAGTATTCCAATATCATAACTCAATAGATCCTAAAACTGTTTTAGAGGCACAAAACTATATATTCGCCGTATGACAAGACAGAGAAGGAATTCGACCGAGGAGGGTCGTTCACGAGGCAGAGACATAAGTCGGTCTAGGTCCAAAGACAGAGCAAGAAGCTATGATCGTGGAAAGGACAGGCGCAAGTCGCTGGACAGAGGCTCGCGGATATACGAGAAACCACATAAACTCAGAAAGGTATATATATATATATATGTGTGTGTGTGTGTGTGTGTGTGTATATTTGTATTTCTCTGAGAAATAAGCTAGATGAAACTTAGTGACAAAAAATACAATAATTTGTTAAAACTGTATTGTTACAACATTTCTTTTTGAAATATGCCAATGATTTAATAGAGTAACCGCTGTTATTTGCAAATAGTAGCACATCCTGTAGTTACTAATAGAACGAATCACTAGGTGTAGTTCATTCAAGTAAGGATGGCACAGGCAATTCAAGTTCAAACACAGAGTTTTAGGATAGAACTAAGCTAAGACCACAACTTACAATGCTAATACAGTCAAATAAATTCACCTTAAAAATGTTGTACAAAATACCCACTAACTTTTATATATATTCTGTCCATTATTTACTTGTTCATTTGGCAAGGTGTAACCAAGTGGTTACAAGTGGTTTAAAGGTGCTTGGTCTACGTCCCAATGTTGCAAAAGTGCAGAATAGAGCCGTTGGGTGTTATAAGAGTGAAGTTAAAATTCGATTACACTAGACCAAAATTTGGCGGTTGGTGCTGTTGACTACCTCCCTTTCCCCCTTCCGTCAGTTCAAACCTAGAGGCGTCGTTACGCGAATATCAGAAGCAAAAAAATAAAAAATAAAGATACAGACATTTATATACTTTATAGCGAGCTATTACTTTTGTGAATTAAAGATCAGTGTGTTATATCTGTTCAAGATCCCTGTACCTTTGGTGGAGAGAACTTATTTGTGACGTATTCCAGCCACGATGCCAGTGTAATTCCTTTCACAGATAGTTCAAACATTCTGCAACACTTATACTTTTATTGTCGATAGTATTCCCGAAGTGGTTTCGGAATAAAAGGAACTTCTATTCGTCTTTTTATTTATTTATTTCGATATTCTACTCGTATTCTTGTGGAGTACTCTCAGTATGATATCGAGTTCACTATCAATATAACTTTCGAAAGAAAACATTCTTGCTCTTCGTTAACTATCACCTCTCTTCACACAGTGGCGTTATAAACACACAGACATCTATTGCTTATTGTCCAGGGTCGGTAATTCATTATCCAGTATGGTGGGTTTTTTTGAGTTATAAAGCAGGTATTTACAAACAACTGTATATTGTTATTTCATCTTTCTGTTGAGAATGGACAAATTATTTTAATACAGTTATTTTAAGATAATTTTAAACTAAATTATCGTCAATTTTGAGCTTCATTTTAAGAAAAAAGAACAGAAACTGGAATATATATATAGGAAGTCATTTCAAAAACGAATGTGTACACGGAAAAAAAATATTCTTGACTCTAAAGCAATAATTATGAAAGCAATAAATCTGAGGATATAAGAAATCTGGAAAATAATACAAATTTTACGAATAATCATTTAAATAAAATAAACTCAGTGTTTTGGCAGAGTTTGATATTAGGAAATTTCAGCGCCTTTTGAAAAAGTGTGTGGAAGAGGAATCATCATTTATCTCTTATAATTTCATAAGTCAGAAGAGGAAAAGAATAAAGAACATTTAGAATTTAAAACAGTAAGAATAACAACTGAAGCATTACAAACTAGAGCGGAAAAATCAAAAATCAAAATATGTAGAAGAAATCTTTGACTAAACATTGGGAGAAGTCGGACCAGGAAATTTGGCTGAAAAAAAAAGAAAAATAATTTTTGGAATAGTAAGAAGAGGATAAAAAGTATCCAGAAAGAGAAAAAATAAGACAACATAAGCCGAAGTATAATGGAGATGTACTTGTATTTTCCAACTCCATAAAGAAATTTTGAGAAAAGGTTTGTCTAAGGAAATAAGGAGCAAAATTTATATCAAATATACCATACCTGCTTCTCGAAAGTTTGCGATAATAGGATGAAATTTTTAGGAGAGATGACTCAACATTGAAACGTAGAAATCAAGGTAGAACACAAACATCTAAGTTGAATACTGTACAACAAATATGCATGGCTTCTGAAGGCAAAACGAACTTCTTACATCCCCGGTTGATCATTTGAAGATTTCTAATTTAAGTAAGAGGGGCTTAGATGAGAATGAAATTAGACTGTTAAGACGAGGAATTAACTTCACACTAAATAATAGACCTGATGATTTTCAAATTAAGGAAGGTCTACATTAATTTACAATATAGTTAAAGTTAAAAACATTTTTATGAATATAAAGAAGAGGATGGATGTCTTGTTAAGATGAAGTGAACTTCTAAACCACCAGGGGATTAATTCGGAATTACATTTAATTTCTAAGAAAATAAACATATTGCTTGTTTCTTATAATATTTTCAAAGCAGGAAGAAAAGTTTGAATATATTCGGAAGAGATGATAGAATTGTTTAAAAAAGTCATAAGGAAAGTATTTTGTTTCTAATGCAACCAATTATTAGAAGAATATAAAGTTAGGACACATTGATAATAGTATCATTATGAGAAAATATCTAATAAGGATGTAAACTTTTATAAGTAAAGAAACGTAAAAAAGTGGTATTGATAGAATATGTATCGAGTTTTAGAAGTTTATTTACTGATTTTTATTTTAACCTTAATTTTTTAATTAAATATTTAAAATTTTATTTAAATTATTATTAATGAGAAAATAAAAGTTGTATATTTCATATTAATATTGAACTTAAATATATTACTTTTCAAAAAAGTGTTTAGTTGTTTACTGGTTTTTATATCGAATATTAGTCTTTGATGCTAGCAAAGCAGTTAAATAAAGAAGTCTGGTAAAGAAAACGGAAGATTCGACTTTCGTATAATAAGTACGGTAGTAGTTATAGTAGGAATAGATACACAATACGTGCAATGCAAACTATTTACTCATATACACCTTTAACAACCAAATAATATATCTTCAAAAGCATTAGAGAGACACATTTAGGTGATATACGCACCACATACAAGATTACAAGTCATATAACCACTTGAAGAGAAAGTCAGCAAAGCAGATACAAAAAATTCACAAAACCACAAATTTCTCGATCTCACTAACTGGCTGACATTGTTGAACGCTTCTAGCTGTGTAACAGACTTACCATAGTTATAAGTGCACCAAATAGAACAATAGCACAATGAACACGTGCTAGTGTTTCTCTATACTAAACATCACCAAAAAGAAGAGCTGTTTGACGTACAGCAGGTAATACCTTGAACAGGGACGCCATTTTGAAATATATACGTCCGCTTGGTATACTGAGCAGGTCTGGTCAAATAAAACAGTTAAGGGGTGTGGCCTTTTCGATTTACAGCACTGGAATCTATGAGTAGCATGGGGTATGCCTACGTACAGTAAGCCTTGAGGAAAGCTTCACTATCTAGGCTAGAAGATAAGCTACGCTCTTTTGTAAGGAATTTATAATACCTCTTGTAAATTAAATCAAGTTTGCATTCACGAAGCATTTAATAGGAAGTGTGGGAGTCTACAACTAGTTCAAATTGCCGCAACCAATTTTTGCTGCATATAAAACTTAGTTGGAGAGTTTTTCGTCGTGAAAAATTATTCAAGTTGAAAGGTTAACAAGTTGAGCTCAGTCAGCTTTTGTGGATGGACAATCAAACACTACGGTTGAACTATTGAATACATCAATTATTTTGTTCAGCTTGAGATGATCACTAAATTCTTTTTCGGGTGAACTGGAACTGCATCCATTTCATTTGGATTTCTTCCATTTGTACCCAAGTGATACTGCAATTCCGTCTGATTGTACTACTCAAGCGTTCCATTCAACTGAAGATAAGTTGAAACATTCTGATGATGACAAAACCTTGTCGAAACGTTGTACATTTGCTGTTATGTTAAACCTATATTAAAGTTTTTTTCATTACCCATTCAAGCCGTCTCCAGCCATTATTAGTCTCAAAGTGGGTTCCTCGTCATCGAAATCGAATTTGAATTCTTTGTATTCAGTTTACCTGCTGTTATACTTTACATGAATAGTACATGTTTCTTTCATAAATGCTGCCTGCATTACCAGTTTGACCTACATGAAATTCTAGTTATTATCTGAACTAGATTAATTAACTAATTTATCAACCTTTATTATATTCCCACAACTCACACTATATCACCCAAATGACATAAAATGTACATTCACAATGTGTACACACACACCACTTTTTGCACATACCATAATATTATGATATACACCAACATTGATGATATACATATAGGATATCAACACAAATGATTGAATGATGCATAAGATCGATTATGTCACCTTGTATGAAAAACGTTCTTGAACAAGTGGAAAAAATATTTTTAAAAAATGAATGTGTAGGAATGAATGCTCCAAAAAATGAAAAAACAAGGTAGGAATGGGCATGGTGTAATAAAAGTTCCTTTGTACAACTTCATAAGTGGGCGCGTTCAACATACCGTCCTAGTTTATTCTTCCTCGATACAAACTTTTAGTACACAGAAGTTCCACAATCAGTACGTTTCTCGTC